GTACATGATCTAACAAATTTCATTCATTCTTTTTCTAAGAAATAAATATATTAAGAGATCAAAGACATTTATTTTGTACCTCGGCGAGCGCTCTTTCGGGACCACTGCCTTTTAAAACGAATCGTGACTCATACGGAATATGTACGGATTGCTCAAGAACTTGTTCCAAAGATCTTTGTTTCGGTTATGGAACACACATCGCAAATCAAGCTGATCAGACCCCACACGAATTAGAGAAGTCGACAACACCACTTGTCTGAGCTTCACGATGCATAAGCTCGATGAGAACCCTCATAATAGAAAGCAAGGCCTTCTCGATCTTGTCTATAACAATCACCAAGTAAGGACGTCTCGCCACAACTCCAGTAAGACGGCCCTAAAAGTACTCATGCTTCTCTGTTGAACTAAACAGACAGAAAAAAAAAAGCTTCGCTCAGCAATAGCATAGAGAACCCCAAAAGAAATGAAATTTTACAGAGTTTATATAGAAAAATACCATTCGGTTGTTTCCTCTGCATCATAATCTGATAATTCAATCTCTACAAGCCTGCTATCATCACAGTACCAAGCTCGGCAACGGCCCTGGCAATACTCGTCTTACAAGTTCCCGTTGCCAAGTAGAAGAAAAGAACCTTTCGGGAGGTTACTACTGCCTCGCCTTGTGGAGGCCAATGTTGCGTAAATTTCAGGAATCGTGCAGTTTGGTTCCAACAGGCCCCGGCACGTCATATAAATCGCATTCTTATGGTGGTCAATAGACGGCAAAATTACTGTAGGCGGGACATCAGTCATTGTGCTCACCACCTCGCAAAAAGAAAAAAAGAAATAATAGAATCACGACAAAGTAAATTTTTGGTAAGGATGAGCTTAAGATACGAATATATTCACAGAAAAATTAACCTGAGCAACATCAACTTGACTGAGTGTCAAGTGGTGCTCGAAAACATAAATCAGTTTGTCTCGAATCCGGTTCAGGAACTCAACAATTCTACGACCAGAATGCTGTGAATAAGCATTTTTCCTTAAAATTTTAATGTCCTCGGCACAATCTGAGAACAAGAAACCAAAACCTCTCGGTGGTGACTCCATAACAACTTCCCATCTACTTAAAACTCGCCCATGAAAATCGAGGCCGAATCACGGTCCCGCCTCAAACGATCCACCCATGACTTCATATACCCATTGGTTTTATTGTACAGTTCGACTACTTCAACAATGCGTTCTCGTAGAAATCACGCCTGATATCGGATAATCGCAAACATGCGTAGAAATTAATTGGCACGTTATGCGAGGAGGCGTCATCATTAAAGTACCTAACACACGCGAACAGGCGCGACGCGTGGCAAAAAAGTAGGAGCAACGGGAAGGACTTGAAACATACGACTTTATGACTGGCAATTAATGGGAAATTATTTGAAAACATGAGCGGGAAACCTATTGACTGGTCGACATTGGGTGACGAACCATCAAGGAGGTCGATAAACACCAACTCACTCTTAGATCGAGTCATTTAGACTCGACCAGAGTGGGGGGTACTAGATGATATAGGATATTATACCCACAAGGCTGAACCGGTCTGTTGACCGGTCGAGGAGATCGTATTATGAGGAAGTCAAAGGAATCGAGCAGTCAGCCAGTCGACCAAGCAAGGCTGTCAACCAAACTATCCTTCGACCAGATACACGACCGAGCAACCTATTCGATCTCAGCAGGTCGATTACTTTGAGGACTTGACACCACGCTGTTCGGCCTAGTTAGGCGCGTGAAGGAATCCTCTGACAGAATCCCAGGAGAATATTTACCCCATGTGCTGGGGGACACGTGTCGAAAAGGCAGTGATGGATAGCGATAACCGCCTCTGACAGCCTACCCCATGTGCAGGAGGACACGTGTCCAAAGAGGATTGATGCAGGCGATAGTGGCGACGGCTACCTCTGACACACGCATTTGGTGTGTACGGATGGGCAGTTAGGGCAGACAGCTCATCAAATCCGGGCAGCCCTAGGTCAGGTATCTCACCCCTATATAAAGGGGGTGAGCCTTTCTTCTTCAACACGATCATTTTATTACTTACTCTTGAGAATTGATTGAGCATACACTGACTTAAGCTTCGGAGGCTCTTCACCGGAAAACCCCTCCGGTGTGAGAGTTCTTTATAGGTACACGACATTCAAATCGGCGAGAAGGAAGGCGATATCCGAATTCTAGCCGGTTGAGAAGTTTTGTGTTACAATTTGGCGCCGTCTGTGGGACTTTCGTTTGGAAAGGTGTGCTTGAAGCTCAGCTATGGCGGACGGAATTCCCAAAAATTTACAGTCAACGTTCGATGATGCTTGGACAACGACCAGGCCAGTAGGACAGGGTCCTCCTGTGGCCCATCCCAGACGCCAGTCACCCCTACGCCGGGTCTTCGAGGTACAGGAGCGACGACAATGGTTCCTGAAGGAGAAGCTGGCTTCAGCCGCGCCTAGGAGATCTGCGCGGCCGATGCGGCGGCGATGCCGCCACCACCGCCACGAAACCCAACAACCGCGCCTCTAGGAGGGGCAGGGGCACAGCAAGGAGGGGCACCACCGCAGGCAACAGTGCAAGTCCCCGGCCAGCAGGTGGTGATGACTAGGCAGGAGATGCAGCAGATGGTGGCGGAGGCAGCTGCCCAGGCGGTGCAGCAGGTCACAAACAGCCTTTCTCGTGCCGCGATGATGCCGAGCACTGTTGCAGGGTCACGCCAAAATGCGGAGGAGGATGAATCCAGCTATGGTGGAGGCGGGCCCACGCATGACCGGGAGATGGAGAGAATGGCGGAGCAGCTGCGCCAATTGCAAGCTAAGGTGGATGGTCGAGCGGAGAGACGCGCACGAGGACACCCGTTCTCGGCGGATATACTAGCAGCGCCCTTGCCAAATAATTACAAGGATACTAACTTGGTGTTCGACGGGACTTCTAATCCGTCGAGACATGTGAGGACATTTGAAAATATGGCTGTGTTGCATGGATATACTGATCCTGTTAGCTGCAGGTCTTTCTTATTGACCCTTAGGGGAGGGGCACTCGACTGGTTCCAACAGCTTCCCCCAGGCTCGATTGTGGACTTTGGGGACTTTGCGGAGAAGTTGACAAATCAATATTCGAGCGCGGTGGCTCAGGAGAAGACGTATTTGACGCTGATGGCAATGAGGCAAGGCGAGAAGGAATCACTACGTAAATATATCGCTCGATACAATCAGGCTTGCTTGGAAATTCCGTCGGCGGTCGATGAGGTCAAGGCGGGAGGATTAATTAGGAGTTTGCGGGCAGGACCATGCCGGAATTCTCTGGCTAAGACTCCTGCTCATACGTATGATGAGGTATTGAGAAGGTGTAGGAAATACATTAATCTCGAGGAGACCGAGGCAGAGTTTGCCAAGCTGGAGGAGTTAGGCCGAGGGGAGTCGAGGAAGGAGAAATCAGTTTCACCTAAAAGGAGAGCCTCGCCTAGGAGAGAGGGGCGAGTCAAACAGGATCGAGGACGAGAGGACAGATGGAAGGACCGGCCTATCTCAGGGGGGAAAAGATTCCATGATTACACCCCATTGAACGCGAAGGTGGTTGAGGTCTAAATGGCCATGGAGAAAGGGATAGAGGGGAAAGATGTGACGTGGCCAAGGTCGAGGTTCGAGGGGCCAACCCAACCGAAGTCGAAGAGATACTGCCGCTTCCACAAAGACTATGGCCATACCGCTGAGGATTGTCGGCATCTCAAGGACGAAATCGAGCGCCTTATTCGAGCGGGGCATCTTAAGGAATTTGTCTATCAGGATAAGGGGAGGAGGAAGGAGAGGAGAAGGTGTCGGGAGGACTCAGTGGAGAGGAGCGAGGAGGATGGTGATGAGGAGACACGAGGTGGTCGAAGAAGAGATGAGGGGAAAAGGAGGCGAGGAAGTAGGGAGCGGGAAGGAGAAGGAGATGGAGGCCAAGTAAAGAGAGGCACAATATATATGATTTCAGGAGGACCGACTGACGGGGACTCGAATAATGCGAGGAGAGGCCACGTTCGAGCAATGAAAAGAAAGAGGGAAGAGGTGAGTATCACGGCCCGATGTCGGTGATAAGTTTCAAGGCGGAGGATGCCGGGGGAGTGGTCCTCCCACACAATGATGCCTTGGTGATAACCGCGGAGGTCGCAGGCTTCGACGTGAAGAGGGTATTCATTGATACCGGGAGTTCGGTAGACGTGATGTTCTACGACTGTTTTGTGCAGATCAACAGGGAGCTGAATATGGAGCTGAAACCGGTGGCCACGGCGCTTTACGGCTTTAATGGGGGAGAGGTTATGCCGATGGGAGAGGTCAGTTTGCCCGTGGAATTGGGATCAGGGGAGTTGAGAAAGGTGCGCATGGTGAGATTTGTGGTCGTAGGCGCTGAGTCGTCCTATAACATCATCATGGGACGGATGAGCTTGAACGCATTCCAGGCGGTCGTATCCACGTACCACATGACGATCAAATATCCCGTGGGCGAAAACGTAGGGGAGATTGCTGGGGATCAGCTCACTTCGAGAAGTTGCTACCAAACGACAGTCAGCAATAACAAACAATTGGCAAAAAGGCAGGCCGAGTCGAAGGCGGAGGAGATTAATCGACCAGGAGGATCGAGGTCGAGGGAGGACAGTCAAAAAGTGGAGAAAGGTAAGGAGAAAATGGATATCCAACCTGGAGAAGAAGTTCAGGAGATTCAAATGATCGAAGGGTGTGAAGGGAGAAAGTTCAGGATCGGAAAGGAATTGGGAGAGCCTATTCGGTCGAGGTTGATCCAGTTGGTTAGGAAGTTCGCTGATATTTTTGCCTATACGGCAGAGGAGCTAACGGGGATAAGTGCGGAGGTGATCGAGCATCGACTCAACATCGACCTCAGCGTAAGGCCGGTGAAGCAGAAGAGAAGGGACCACGGGGCGGAGATGGATAAGATCATCGAGCAGGAGGTCGAGAAACTATTGGGAGCACGACATATTAAGGAAATTCAGTTCCCCGAATGGCTGTCAAACACGGTGATGGTGTCGAAGGCGGAAGGGAAGTGGAGGATGTGCATTGATTTCTGCGATCTGAACAAAGCGTGCCCGAAGGATTTATATCCGCTTCCTAGGATCGACCAGTTGGTCGACTCCACAGTCGGGTGCGAGCTACTCAGTTTGATGGACACATCCCAGGGTTATCATCAGATCCCGCTGGCTCGAGAGGATTGGAAAAGGGTCAGCTTCGTAACAAGCCGGGGAACATACTGCTATATGGTGATGCCATTTGGCCTAAAAAATGCGGGGGCGACATATCAGAGGTTGGTGGATAAAATTTTTAAGAATCAGTTGGGAAAGAACATGGAGGTATATGTGGATGATATTCTGGTAAAGAGCAAAGAGGAAATTGACCATGTAGACGACTTAAAAGAAACATTCATGACCCTCCGGAAGTATGGGATGAAGCTGAATCCCGCCAAGTGCTCGTTCGGGGTCAAATCTGGAAAATTTTTGGGCTACATGGTCACGAGGAGGGGGATAGAGGTCAACCCGGAGAAAGTGAGGGCGATGATCGAGATGCAGCCCCCCACGAAGGTGAAGGAGGTGCAGGTCTTAACTGGTCGAATAGCAGGCCTGAGCCGTTTTATCTCTAAGGTAGCTGAGAAAAGCGGGCCCCTATTTAAGACACTCAGAAAGAGCTCAAAATTCCAGTGGACAGAAGAAGCACAGAAAGCATTCGAGGAGTTGAAGAGGATGTTGGTCGATCTACCACTATTGGCAAAACCAGCGCAAGGGGAGGACTTGGTGTTATATGTGTCCATCGGTGAGACGGCAGTGAGCTCTGTTATTGCGGGAGGAAGGGACAACCCAATTTCCGATCTATTACGTGAGTAAGGTGATGCAAAGGGCGGAGAGGAGGTATTCAGAGATTGAAAAAGGGGCTTTGGCTGTGGTGGTCACTGTAAGGAAGCTGAGACCATACTTCTTGGGACATAGGGTGAGGGTCCAAACGAGCATGCCATTGGGAAAAACGCTGGGGCGACCCTCCGTGTCGGAGCGGTTAGTCAAATGGGCGGTCGAGCTGAGTGAATACACAATTATCTACGAGCCAAGAAGGGCGATTAAGGCTCAAGCGCTGGCGGACTTTATTAAGAGGGGACGAAGGAGAGCGAGAAGTTTGAAGGGGTGTGGCAAGTGTTTGCAGATGGATCGGTATCGAGGGCTGGAGGTGGCCTAGGCATCGTACTTATGTCGCCGAAAGGTGACAGCCTGGAGTTCGCAATCAAGATGGCCTACCAGATATCAAACAATAAAGCGGAATACGAAGCGGTCATTAAGGGACTCAAACTGGCCTTAAGTGGCGGAGCTCGAGCAGTGCAGGTGCATTCAAATTCACAATTGGTGGTGGGTCAATTCCAGGAAGGTTTCGAGGTCCGGGAGGAGAGAATGATGAAGTATGTGGAGGAGATAAAGAAGCTGCAGGGAGAGTTTGATTCTTTCGAATTAATCCATATACCTCGAGGAGAAAATGGTCGAGCTGATCTGTTGGCTAAAGTGGCACAAAGTCTGGTGGACTGCAAGAGCAGAAGTGTGACCTTGCTGTACATGGAAAAAAGTGTGGTCGAGAAGGAGGTGGTCGAGATAGAAGAAGTCGAGGATTGGAGGGCGCCGATAACAAAGGAATTGAAGGAAGGAGCTGTTAAAGTGATAAGGAGATTTTTTGAGCATGGGGGAATTCTCTACAAAAGGTCGCTCGCGGGTCCACACTTGCGATGTGTAACCGGAGAAGAAGGGCGGTACGTGTTGAAGGAAATTCATGAAGGCTGCTGCAGTGACCACAGCAAGGCAGGCTCCTTGGTAGCAAAGGCTCTAAGAGCAGGATATTTCTGGCCAACAATGAGAGAAGATGCCAAGGAGATGGTGCGGAAGTGTTTGCAATGCCAGAAGCACGACCCACTTATTCACCAGCCGGCCAAAGCCATGACAGCGATGAGTTCTCCCATCTCGTTCGCACAATCGGGGATCGACCTGGTTGGGCCCATGCCCCAAGGAACCGGGCAGAGGAAGTTCTTGATTGTCGCGGTCGATTATTTCACGAAGTGGGTGGAGGCTGAACCCCTGGCAAAGATCACGGAGGATAAAGTGATACATTTTCTATATGATAACATATGTTGCAGGTTTGGAGTTCCTAAGGTGTTGGTGTCGGATAATGGGACACAGTTCAATGGCAAGCGGATTCGGGCATGGTGCGAAGACATGAAAATTGATCAACATTTTGCTTCAGTCGCACACCCGCAGGCCAACGGGCAGGTCGAGGTGACCAACAGAATCATACTGAATGGTCTGAAAACAAGGTTGGAGAAAGCATCGGGAGCATGGGTGGACGAGCTTACTTCGGTGCTATGGGCGTACAGAACAACTCCTCGATCGACCACTGGGGAAACACCGTTTAGTATGATTAAGGCCATGAGGCTGGATGGTCGCATGTAACGACCACCCCTTTTGAGGATGGGCATGTGTTCAAAAAAGAAAAAAAATCCATCATGATTAAGGCCATGAGGCTGGATGGTCGTATGTAACGACCACCCCTTTGAGGGTGGGCATGCGTTCAAAGGAAAAAAAAAATCCATCATGATTAAGGCCATAAGGCTGGATGGTCGCATGTAACGACCACCCCTTTTGAGGATGGGTATATGTTCGAAAAAGAAAAAAAATCCATCATGATTAAGGCCATGAGGCTGGATGGTCGACAACGACCACCCCTTTGAGGGTGGGCATGCGTTCAAAGAAAAAAATCCATCATGATTAAGGCCATGAGGCTGGATGGTCGCATGTAACGACCACCCCTTTTGAGAATGGGCATGTGTTCAAAAAAGAAAAAAAATCCATCATGATTAAGGCAATGTGGCTGGATGGTCGTATGTAACGACCACTCCTTTGAGGGTGGGCATGCGTTCAAAGAAAAAAATCCATCATGATTAAGGCCATGAGGCTGGATGGTCGTATGTAACGACCACCCCTTTGAGGGTGGGCATGCGTTCAAAGGAGGATGGCCATGAGGCTGGATGGTCGCATGTAACGACCACCTCTTTGAGGGTGGGCATGTGTTCAAAAAAGAAAAAATAAAAAAAAAACCCATCAAGACTAAGGCCATGAGGCTGGATGGTCGCATGTAACGACCACCCCTTTAAGGAGGGGCATGGGTTCAAAAGAGAAAACCCGTCACGATGGAGATCGTGGGGACATGTGTTCGAAATGCACAGTTACACGGAAAAATACAAGTTAAAAGAAGGAAAATACGGTAACGACATATGAGCTCACTCAAGTTACCTTGGTAAGAAACAACACAAACACACCAACGCAGGTCATCACAAGCATAGACAAAGAAAGAAATAAACCAACCAAAACATTTTCATTTCACGAAGATCATGAGAATGTGAGAAGTACACACGTTACAGA